TCTTTATTGCGTTACTTGTGTAATTGGAAATTGTCATGGGAGTAAACTAGATGAGTTGAACAGTTGTATTGGTTATTGGACTCAAAGTCATGTTATTGCAGCTGCTCTGATGCAAATTTGTTCAAATTGTACTACTCATACCACTAGGGATTGATTCTTCATTTTGCTAAAAAGCTTGTGATTACTTTTAGAGTAGTGGTTGCTGTTAGATTTTTGTGTGAGACTGGACCTGCCATCTCATTTTGATATACTTAGAGTCATGACTATTCATGTTAGACTACTCCACCATTGGCTTAACTTTGTAATGACAGATTTGTAGAACTTGTTTAGGCCTAGTTGTGTTTCCTTGTTGGATTTATGATTTGATAACATCATTTCTATATTGGAACATTTAAGTTTGCTCTAGCCATGTTTGAAGTTATGACTATGTGGTCATTGGACTGTGCTGAAAGTTTGAGTCTGGTCAACTCATGCCTATTATACCAATGTTCGGTCATGGCTGCAGTTTCAAGCAAGACTGCTTGATTCATGATGTTGAAGCATTGTTGTTGAACCTTAGTACATAGAGGTCTGCTCTTGATTTTCCATTTTTACTGCTGCCAAAACTTATTCTTTATGCTTTGCTTGAATAAATGCCATTTGGAATTTGCATTGGAGACTGTCTGGGAGTTTTCTTAGTTTAGGGGTTGTTACTCCAAGTTTGTTTGCACTCTTGATTTTTTGAATCTCAGTTTTCATTGACATATTATTTTAATGCTTTGTGGACTATCTACCACCTGTTCAAGCCTAGCATTTCCATTATCTCACTTTTTGCATTTTATGGTTTGTCGGGACTAAGTGCATTGGTTGTTGTTATTTTTAAATTGGGATCTGGACAACACCCCCCTCCAGAATCTCATACTTTTTATTGAGCTCTTATGTTGGTGCTTTAAATCTTGATTGTTTTGCATTTGTCTAAGTTGGCCATTATGTTTTGTTTGTTCAAATCGTGTTCTTTAGCAACTCACATAACGTTTTTTGATCTAATGTGTTTTGAATAAACTTCCATGTTGGAACTCACTCCACATCATATTTATAACCTGCTCAGGCCCTTACTTGCTCTGAAATGCACATGTTTTAATCTCTGATTTCCAAGTTGCACTTCAACATCCTTTTTAGCATGTCCTATCGAATTTTGAGTTGTGGAGTTTATTTCAGATATTTGTTGACGCCACCCTCTTCCTCATAAAATTTCAAGTGGAATAGAGTCTTGTTTTGTGAAAATTGATCACGTTTTGAAAGAGTTTAAGTGAAATCGTTTTGGCATGTTTTCACTTAATGTTGGTCTCATGCCTTGCCCAGAAATTACCCTTTTTAGGTATATTTACAACTGGGGTGGCTTGATACAATGGATGTATCACCACCCCAGTGGTTGCTTGCCTTGCCTTGAGGACCTTATCATGCGCGTGTTACCGGGTTCGAGCCTCAGCGAGGCCACTTTTTATTAAATTTTGTGATTTTTTATGGTTTTAATTTTTTACATCTTTTTCCATTACTCTTTACGTGTGTGGAAATGGTTGGGATGGTCATGTTTTGTGCCTATGACCCCAAGGTCTTGGGTTCAAGCCTTGGGTGAGGCATTTCTTAGTTTTTAGCATTTGGTTTATTTAATTTCATTTAATTTTCAATTTACCATAACTTCTTTATTTTTAATCATTTTTAATTGATTCTTTTTGCTAAATTTTCATGTTAATGTATATTTTCACATAATGTTTGAACCCTTTGTTTACATGGTTGTGACATTGTTGGTTTATGTATGATATCCTTTACCTTTTCCCTTTATCCTAACCTTAAGATTTGAGTCTCTGAACTCTCATTTAGCGTCCCGCCGTGGACATACCCTTACCTTTTACAAACCTTAAGACGTTGAGTCGTCTTACTCATGCTTAGGCGTCCCGCCGTGGACATTCTTTACCCTTTATCCTAACCTTAGTATTTGAGTCGCCGTACTCACTTTAAGCATCCCGCCGTGGACATCCTTTACCCTTTATCCTAGCCTTAGGATTTGAGTCATCGTACTCATATTTAGCGTCTCGCCGTGGACATTCTTTATCATAACAATCTCAACTTAGATTCAGGAGTCGCCGCACTCCATGTAAATACTTCCCTATGAATGCTTACATCCCCTTGGAACCTTGACCACAGTCAAGAGTTCTTCATCCCCACTGGGGGAACTACGAACGCTCTGATTTCTCAAGTCTCTCTTGAGGATACGTAGGCACAAGATGCGATTTCTTGGCGAGCACACTTTTCTTTTTTTTCCTCACTAACAACTAAATTCTTGTTAACCTTTTACAACTTAGGATTGGAGTCTCCGTGCTCCATGTAGTCGTCCCGCCGTGGACATTCCCCCTGTTTTACCTTAATCATAGGACTTGGAGTCGCCGTACTCTATTTAGTCGTCCCGCCGTGGACATTTCTTTTCCCATTTAACATAACCTTAGTTTAGAGTCGCCGCACTCTATTTAGGTGTCTCGCCGTAGATATTTACTTGCTCCCCTGGAACCTTGACCACAGTCAAGAGTTCCTCACCCCTAGTTAGGGGAACTACGGTTGCTCTGATTCCATTCCCGTCAGGATACGTAGGCACGAGATGCGATGTCTTCGCGAGAAAACTTTGTACATACTTTGTATATACTTTAGATCTTTACCTTAGCACTCTCCCTTTAGCAAGCAAACTCTAGCAAACACAAATATTAACAAGAGGTTCCTGTAGAGTACTACAGATGTTTAGGATGTGAAATACCTACCTTATGCATAAGCAACCCCCGAACCTTTAGATCTCTCTTTGCTTAGCTTTAGACTTTGCCTTTTGCTTTGCATTTTTATTTATAGGTTTTTCTTTCTTTAAACCTTTCCTTTTTGGATAAATTAAAGTCTGGTTGTGAATTGTAAGAATTAAGATTCAAGTTAATCAATAGCTTGGTATCACGATTCTCACTGCAACAGCAAGCTGCAAATTAATGACCATTTTTCCCTTCATAAGTTAAAGAGCGCACAATGTGATTTTTCCTACAAAACCAACAGACTACACAAACCTGTTAGTGGTTAGTTAAATGCAATGCAAAAATGAAATGGAATGCAAAATGAAACGACTAATCTAAGTGAAAATTTTGGGGTATTACACCCTTAAATCAGCTTTACATACATTGAATCACATATTGAAAACAATGAAGGCAATACTCCCCATACCTTAGTTGCCGACTCTAAACTTTTCTCCTTTGATTCTCAGAAACCTCACGAAGCTTTGCCTTTTTTCTCTTCCCTCAGAGTTCTACCCTCTATTTCTTCTCTTTTCACGGTCTCCAATTCCCTCAAAATTCCTTTATGTTAAACCTAACTTTGGGTCTTAAAATGGGCTTTCCAATTTCACCCTTACTAACTCTTCCTCAAATGTCCACTTTACCATCAATTCACTTATAGTTATTTAAAATAATAATAATACCAATATATTTATATTATATACTATTATTTAAATAAATAACCCAAAAATCCATAATTCTCAATATTTTATATCAACCACCAAAAATACGAATATTCATATTTAAATAAATTAAATAAATATTCCATTAAATTTGGAGTGTTTGAGAGTATTTTCCTTTCAAGATCTCTTGTGTGAGTCAGTCCATACGAAGTTTTACTTTAACTTTAAACAAGCCCCCACCATCAAAATTTCAAAATAAATAAATTAATATGACCTCTTTTTTAATCAATTTTTATTTTTAAGTTAGCATACTTATCTCTGCAACTCAAAAATTATTTCTCGTAGTTTTAGATTTACATAACAATGATAAATAACGATACTTTGACATTTGGTCTCTATAGATTCGATATTTTTATTACTATGATATATTTGTATATTTGTGAAACATGTTAAAACCGACAAAACCGATCGATTGTCCAATCCTACTTAATCATATATAATTATCTCAAGTGAAGAAAAAAAAACATAAGAGAAACGAATAATTAAAAATAGTCTCATATTTAAAGTTGCTAGCCAACCACATCTATCTATCCATGTTGGTATATTTCTCTTATTTTTGTACTTACTAAAGGTAAGAAAAATAAGATCTTTTATCTACCAAGAAGAAATGCATCGATATTTATTGGGGTTACGTGGCTTTGTATGGTTGCATACAGCTAATATATTTCCAGAAGATTACGGTCACACTCAGCCGGAAAACGATGCTTGAATCCATGATAGCTTGAAAGTTAACTTCAAATGTAACATAACACTAAATTTCCAAAAGAGAAATATTATTTTTACACTACTAATAACACCTACACCGTATAAATATACCATCCAACATACTTTTTTTATTTTTTATTATTTTTTAGTGCATTGGATTTTGTGCCACACTTGCAATGAATTGGAATAACTACGGTGTAAAAGTATATGATGTACAGTTTGAGTGTAAGCATAGCACACCTCTTTCCAAAAGGATGTGAAACAAAACAACATATATGTACACAAACAACGTAGAGAAATTTAACTAGATAATGATATGCACAAAGAAGAGGGACACGTAGCAACAGTGACTACCAAAGGACGGTACCAAATCCATTTGACTTCGTCTATTTCTTACTCTTATTTTCTAGAGAAATGATAAGTTGACATCACTTTTTTACACTAACACCGTATATTTATACATACAAGACTTACATTCAATTTTTTTAATAATTGTCTCTGTCTTGTTTTATGTGCAATAGCATTTTCTTTGGTTAATTTCTACGGTGTAGCATACGGTGTGAAAAAACAAGTGTAAACATAGCATAGCTCTATTTTCTATTTATACATCAACAAGAAAGTGCACTCATTCCATTGAGTTCAGTTGAGTCTTATACAATACAAAATCTACCTTTATTTCTTTCTTTTTTTTCCGTCTCAAAAACTTCTCCCTCTTTTCTAACATATCATATCCTCCACGCAAACTCTTATTGACCAATTATCACACACTGTCATGGGAAGAATACCTTGTTGTGAAAAGAATGGCCTCAAGAGAGGACCATGGACACAAGAGGAAGACCAAAAACTCACTGATTATATTCACAAACATGGCTATGGAAACTGGAGATTACTCCCAAAGAATGCTGGTACGTATATTTACATGTCGTGAATATTCATCTTAATTATTTTCTACCAAAAAATGAACATTATTCAACTAAAGTGTTTTATTATTTTTGCTTGAACTGTAGGACTGCAAAGATGTGGAAAGAGTTGTCGTCTTCGTTGGACTAATTATCTCCGGCCAGATATAAAGCGAGGTCGATTCTCTTTTGAAGAAGAAGAAACTATAATTCAGCTGCATAGCATCCTCGGCAACAAGTAATAATCAACTTCAATAGAATTTAACTGATATGCACTGACACTCTGTATCAATTTTAATTACACATGTGTAACATAAATTACATAGCATGAGTCAAATATATATTATTATTCATTATGATTAAGATATTATATACTATATACTTATGATATATATGATTTTTGTGACTAAACTATATGTTATTGGGATGTGTAGATGGTCTGCAATTGCTTCAAGGCTACCAGGAAGAACAGACAATGAAATCAAGAACTATTGGAACACTCACATTAGAAAAAGACTCTTGAGGATGGGAATTGATCCAGTGACACATAATCCAAGACTTGATCTTTTGGATCTTTCTTCTATCCTGAATTCATCTCTTTATGCTTCTGCCTCATTGATGAACCCCGAGATTCTAAAGTTGGCTGCATCACTCTTCTCCTCTCAAAATGGACAAGAGAATCATCACCAAATTGATCAGAATCAGCAAATTATCTCACACTTAGTTCAAACTCAAATTCAGGACTCCATTCATCAAGAAACTTACAACAAATTGTTGAATCCACTTTGTGATAATTCAGTGCCTTTCACTCAATCACACTTGGTTGAATCTAATGAGAATCTATATTCATCATCCTTTTTACCTGAATTTGGCTTCCAACAACAGCATGAACGTGTTCATTTAAATGATTTGCATTGTAATGGAACTGCTTCAAGTACTATAACAGATGATTTTGTTCATCAATTACCGAGCTATGATTATCATGGAAATGGTTTAATTATGGAGCCTCACATATCAGAAACCTCAACATTTCATTCCAATAACACCAACCAGAACTTCAATTTCGCTTCAGTTCTATCAACGCCTTCGTCAAGTCCCGTACGGTTGAATTCGAATTCCACGTACATCAATGGGACCAGCATTGAAGATGAGACAGAAAGCTATGTTAGCAACAACATGTTTGAGTTTCAAATTTCAGATATCTTAGGTGTGAATGAGTTCATGTAATGTGGATAACTATGGATTGATGTTGATTGATACATGTAGCATTTTTCTAAACCTTTATCATTAGTGTTGATAATTTGACTTTGTTGATTTAGGCTTTGGCTGTATTAGGAAGGAAGTATAGGAAAGTCTTCATCATTTTCAAATTATTGAACTATATTTAAAGTTTCAATTATTGCTATGTTACTGTATGCATATCTGTTTTTTTCTCTTAGATTTGGAAATTGGTCTTTGAATAATTAGTTTACTTAAATAAAGCAATGAACCAATTATATACATTACTTCAGATCAAGAAATGAGTATCTTTACCAAACTAAAATCAGCTAATATAAAAATCCAAATTAGTAATGTCTAATTAATCCATAAACAAATTAGTATATTAGGATTGTTTCAATGAGTTTGGATTAAGGGTGAGCAAAAATATGTTTAACAAAATTATACTATTAAAATGAATTGTATTTGCAAGAAAAAACTGAATTATTTTAAGGATTAATAAACTCAACTACTTATTTTAAATAATATATACTTAATTAAATTAGATTTTAAAAATAAATTTGAACCATTTTATATTCTTTAGTAAAAATTAATTTTCAATTATTTCATATAAATACTCTCTCTCATAATTATTTTTTAAATGAAGTTTAAATGAGTTTGAAGACCCTCATTTTTTAAACTAGGTTTTGAAATTAGATTAAAGCTTATTTAACAAATTTGACATCAAACATTGTATTTAGAGCACATTTCATATATTTTATATTTTATATTTAAAATTTAAATATGGAATTAATTCTTACAAAGTAAATATTCATCCAAATGATTAATTTAACGTGATTTTAAGAAGTTCTGAATACTAACTTCAACATTAAACTGAAAAATCAAACTAAATTTTGACTAACAGGACACAATATCAAATATACATCCATAAATAATATGGTTTGACTTAACTCTGAATTCATAATATACACAATTTTTTTTCATATTTAGAATATATTGTCGTTTATAAATTTTTCTCTCATGTCGGCTCAATGCTTGACAACAAGGTGTATGTCATTTATATATTAATATAAAAAATAGAGAAATGTTAACGAGTGCTCTCAGGGCATTGGTTAAGAGATTAAAATGATAAGTTGGACATTATTTAAGAGATTGAAAACACATTTTTTTAAATATATGTGTATTCAATGACATGAAAAGAAAAATAATCAGACTTTTTAAAGAATATTGTATATATTGAGTGAATTAAATATAATATATTTTTCTTATTTGAAATTCTTAACTAATGCCCTGAGGACACTGGTTAGGATGATCCTAAAAATAAAGTGTATGCTATTTTATTATATTCTATACAAGAACGTGTATGCTGTTCAGTTTTTCCTTGTGATGCTAATGTTATAGATATTCCGACAGTAAATCCGGCAAAGAGTCGGAGATGAAACGCCGGCGAGTGGGATACGTTAAGTGCGACACCTGTCAAGACACCTGTTCTTAGTAACTCTCTTTTCACGTACTACTACTATTTTGAAGTCAACGATTCTGCATGGGAGGGTTTGACCAAAAATATTTTGTGCATACGTGGCCATGCAAAAATTTTGACACCGTAGTCTGTGGGGACCCTCATTTAAATCAAGATGCTTTTCATATTAAAAATCATGGCGTGCTTCTTGTGTGGTTTTTGCCTTTTGTTTTTTAATTTTATCGTTGGTCTGTTTCTTTTTGGGGAGATAGAATTAGATGGCTTGTGATACCACTAATTGTTGTCACCAATTAGGCTTCAATAATACACCAAAAGCGGACACCGCATGGGTTACTAAAATACATCAACAAAAAATTAATATATAACTGGTACTCATAAAGAGGATACTCTTTTTCTTTAATGAAAAGTTGATGAAATGAGTCAATAAAATTATTCCATAATATTTGAATGCACAGTTTTGAAATCTTACAAAGTTGTAATGGTTTATGTTAGGATAGACTTGAACCTTTAAAGTTAGATATTTAGATATTTATTTTTCGTATGTCACCTTATTCTTATAACAACCCCTCACCTAATCAACCAAGTAGTAGAGAATAAAAAAAAAAAACATTCCTTTTCAATCATAAATTTAAAAAAAAAAGTTTAATTTACTCTGTGTGTGTGTGTGTGTGTGTGTGTGTGTGTGTGTGTGTGTGTGTGTGTGTGTGTGTGTGTGTGTGTGTGTGTGTGTGTGTGTGTGTGTGTGTGTGTGTGTGTGTGTGTGTGTGTGTGTGTGTGTGTGTGTGTGTGTGTGTGTGTGTGTGTGTGTGTGTGTGTGTGTGTGTGTGTGTGTGTGTGTGTGTGTGTGTGTGTGTGTGTGTGTGTGTGTGTGTGTGTGTGTGTGTGTGTGTGTGTGTGTGTGTGTGTGTGTGTGTGTGTGTGTGTGTGTGTGTGTGTGTGTGTGTGTGTGTGTGTGTGTGTGTGTGTGTGTGTGTGTGTGTGTGTGTGTGTGTGTGTGTGTGTGTGTGTGTGTGTGTGTGTGTGTGTGTGTGTGTGTGTGTGTGTGTGTGTGTGTGTGTGTGTGTGTGTGTGTGTGTGTGTGTGTGTGTGTGTGTGTGTGTGTGTGTGTGTGTGTGTGTGTGTGTGTGTGTGTGTGTGTGTGTGTGTGTGTGTGTGTGTGTGTGTGTGTGTGTGTGTGTGTGTGTGTGTGTGTGTGTGTGTGTGTGTGTGTGTGTGTGTGTGTGTGTGTGTGTGTGTGTGTGTGTGTGTGTGTGTGTGTGTGTGTGTGTGTGTGTGTGTGTGTGTGTGCGCGCGCGTGCGTGTGTGTGTAAAAGAGGGTGGATTAATTCAAGTTAAATAGATTACACGTTAGGCTATGTCACCGAACAAATAGCTCAGGCTCAAAGGATTTTAACAATATATGTTAACATTTTATAGGTTAGTTTGAAAAGGTTCAGAGTTTCTATAAACAAGTGTCTCAGTGTGTAATTATTGTTAAGTATAAAAGTGTGAGTAGTGGGAGAACCCATATACATATCACTTTAAAATTTTGGATGAATATGTAGTGTGTCTCTCACAAAGGTGTTGCTCTAAAAAGAAAGTTTCACAACGTTCAATGCTCCCTAGTGAAAATCTTCCCCCAACAGTGGTATCATGAACTTTTGGTTCGAGTGAAGGATCGCCTCACTTGTATCAAAATTATCCCCACAGGCGGTTGGTTAAGTGTCTCATTGAAGAGTGTCAACGTCGGTACATCTGTATGGATGAAGCTTCCGCTTAAGGGGAGCATTGTGGATAGACTCACACTTGAGGGGGAGTGTTAAGTATAACAAGTGTGGGTAGTGAGAGAACGCATACACCTATCACCTTAAAGTATTGGGTGAATATGTGGTGTATGTCTCACAAAGATGTTGCTCTAGAAAGAAAGTCCCACAGTGTTCAATGCTCCCTAGTGAAAATCTTCCTCCAACAATTATCAGGTCAATAGACTAAATAAAAAATAAAGCGAATTCTAGAAAGTAACAATTGTACATACACTCTCATAAGAAGGAAAAGTAAAAAAAAAAATGGATTATTTGGCTCAAACTTTACTTGCTAAGGTAAATGGAAGTTAAGTACAATTCAGTTGCATTTCCCTCTTCTTCTCTAACTGTCAACCTGTATTTGGGAACTTATGTAGCTATCAATTCTTTGCTTTTATTCTTTTTCTGGTGATTTATTTCATGTTTCTTTTCATGGTGTCACTGGTACTATTATTTGAAAGAATTAACAACAACAAACTCATTCATTAAATAAAGCAGTAATAAAGTTCACAAAATGGAAAAGTAGAAAGAAAAAATGAAAAATAAATAATCCAAATATGTGGCTTGTGTAACACCCCAAATTTTAATTGAAATATTTATTTAATTTATTTAAATAAGAATATTCGTATTTTGGTGATTTTCGGTGGTTGTTGTGAAATATTGAGAATTATGAAATTTGGGTTATTTATCTAAATAATAGTATAAAATATAAATATATTAGTATTATTATTAATTTAAATAAATATAAGTTAACTAAGGGGAAATTGGACAATTGAGGAGGAGTTAGTGAGGGTAATATTGGAAAAGCCCAAATTATAGGCCCAATGTTAGTTTAACAAAAAGGAAATTGTGATGGGATTAGGATTCATTTTGTTAGACCGTGAAAAGAATTGAGGCCAGAGCTCTGAGGAGGAGGTTTGAGGCAAAAGCTTCGAAAGGTTTTCTGAAATATTTGAGAAGGCTTAGAGTCGGCAATTAAGATATGGGGAGTATTGCCTTCATTGTTTTCAATGTGTAATTTCGATGTATTTAAAGTCGATTTAAGGGTTTAAAGGGTTTTAGGCTGATTTTGGGATAAAGGGAATTTGGTCTCCGTGGCCTAAATTTATTATTGAGATTTTAACTGTAGGGATTTATTTGGGTTAAGGAAAATTAGGTCTTCGTGACCAAAGCTCTGATTTGATATTTTTCTAACCCTGTAGGGAAAGTTGATAATGAGGAACTTTAATGATTGTGGTGTAGTTGTAAGGATTTATGGGATTTAGAGCGTGAATATGATACAGGATTGGCCTAATAAGTCGTAGATTTTGTGCCTTTATTGTCGTAAGACCTTAGGGATGTTTTTGCGTTATTGGGGAAGTGAATCGTGGGACTTTTGGGTTGATTTTAGGTTCTGATGCATAACAGTGTTTTACTGTCATCGCGTGTTCACACAGCGAATGAAGCTCGTCCCAGACTCGCACTGTGAAGAATCCTTCGCACAGCGAAGAAACTCGCCCCAGACTCGCATTGTGAACTTGCTAGCGAACGTAGCAGAGTTTCATAAATTCTGATTTTGTATAGTGATGCCTTGATGTTTTGATGATGTGATTCCTTTGAAGAATTAATATGAGTATGACTGTGAATTCTATGTGATTTATACATGATTATATGATGATTCCTATGATGTAATGATTGATGAACTATGATGATATTCCATGAGTTTTGATGATTCTCTGATGGCATGATTTTTAATGATGATGATGATG